GTACATATGTAACAATAATCTGAATAAGCAATTCAGATTAGATTCAGTTTTTATTACAGTAACTTGTATTTTAACTTAAACTATTACACTACTCTATATAATTATTTCCACATGTAGTATCAAGGAAAACCCCTGTTCCCTGCTCTTTTTTTCTAGTTTCAATGTATTGATTTATACATCAAGATTGATTTTAAAAGTATTTTAAAAATCCTTCTTCATTGGAGTTGAAATATTATCGTTAAACACAACACCTTCCATTGAAGTTTCTTATAATTGATTTGCATTAATTCAATTTTGTTTTGTACTCTTCAAATGACACGATTTAGTCATCAATTTGTTCTACTGCCCCATTGTGAAACTACGGAATATTCAAATGCGATTTCAGATTTTCATATGATCAACCAAGCCTAAAACTCACTTCACGAATGGGGCGAACTGAATTTTAATTTATTTACGCTCTGCAGCAAAATTAATTGCCTCAAATGCAATACATGCGCCCGTTGAGGTGCAATGCGAATTGAATACATTATTGCCCTACAAATGTGTTGGGGTCTTACATAAATTTAAATGTACAAACAATACGTGTTGTAAACGCCCATTGTTTGCACTCCAAACCAAAACAGTATGGAGCCACTGCAAAACGCTTCAGTATGAGGAAAATTGCACACAATTGCAGATTAGGGCGTTACTCATAAAACAATGAGAAACCGAAAACAATGGCACTTTTCCCCATAAAATAATTTTAATTAAATCAGACTTTGATTTTAATTTGCACATGACTATCGTACAAATCTATATTGTTTTAATAAATTAATCATATGATTAAATATGACCAACTGACAAGTTATTAATTTATGCAATAAATAGGCTAGATAAATAATTTGCATTGGAATTATATAAAGCTTTCAATTTGAAGTCACATTGTATTGCATGATTGTTTGTATTTTTCCGTTTAAGACTAAAAACATTAGATAAACAATTTATTTTAATACTGACAATAGTTAATATGAGGTTAATCATTAAACTTTTTTACTTTCTACTATTTACATACTTCATTATTTAAATTCTTTTTTTTACTGTTGCTCTGCTACTATGATAGATCAAAAAATTGGCAGACTTTGTATAGGCACTACTGATGCAAATACTGTATAATCTTGACTTTGTACTGTCATATTATTATCTATTTGCATCTACAAAATAGTATACTTTATTGCTTATACACAATTAATTTCTCAAGAAGATTGTGAAAAACACCTTCTCTAGTTCTTGAGAGATAAGACACCGGAAATTTAAATAAGAAATATAATTTTTTGAACGGAAAAATTAAAAAAGAAAAAAGCAACTTATTTATTGGCTTTTATTTTTTGAATATGATTTCCGGCATATGTCCGTCGCGGCTACTGGTTACATGGTCCATTCGATCAGTTTAATTTTTGGCAATTTTTGGTAATAAATGTGGCCGTCTGACGTCAATAGTGGCATGACCATTAGCTTCCAATGCTTCAAGAATTTCTTCTCGACATAAACCAATGACTTAACATAGCCCCATAAAAAGTAATCGAAAGGCGTTAAATTGCACGAACAAAGTTTAACAGGGGCAGTTAACAAGACCACTTCTGAAAATAAAGTTGTTACAAAATTGATTGTTTAACTGATTAATT